GTTAAATAAGCATATAGAATAATTATGTGCAATAAATAATTACACGTTGTGTTAAGTCTTACAAAGGAAACCACGTTCAGTTAGAGAATAACTGGTGGGCAGGTAGGGATGACATCCTAAATGAACGGCATGTTTAAGGAAGTGACAGTTAAACTAAAAGACAAGAATGAATCAGCCATTCCAAATGGCAAGAAACAGGGTGAGGGTTGTGACAGGGAACAGAGTACCAGACAGAGGTGAGACCCAGGAAAGAATGTGGCACGCTCAAGCTACTGAAGGAAGGTCTAAAGTAGCCACTGTCTAACAGAAAGATCACAAGAGCCACATGGGTCGTTGGAAATTTTCTAGTAGCCACATTTTTAAAAAAGGTAAATATGAATCTGTCAAATACATTCTCATACTATGTTTTATTCAACTCAGTATATCCAAAGTATTAGCATTTCAACATATCATCAATGTAAAACTATCGAGGCATAGTTCCTTGTTTGTTATTGTTCTAAGGTCCCCATAGCCTGTGTGTATTTTACACTTACAGCACATCTCAGTTCAGACTAGCTATATTTAAAGTACTTCATGGCTACTTTCATTAAAATAACTAATTCACTAAAAAAAAAACAAAGCACCAGGACTGATCTAGGTGCTGGGCATGCAAAGGTGAATGCAATAGTTGTGACTGCTTGGATAGGCCTAGAATGTTGGAGTACCAGGCTTGAGATGAGCTTGGAGGGGCAGGCATGAACTTGGTTGTGAGGGCCTTGTAGTAGTGCTATGGAGTTGGGAGGTTATATATATAAAAGTGGACTTTATATATATAACTTGAACAAGTTTAATGTAATACACAATATCTAGTCCAACATTCACATTGGTTCTCTTTACTGGCTTCCCACTGCAATATATGTATATGTATATATATGCATATAGGTATGTATATATATGTGTGTGTGTTTGTGTGTGTGTGTGTGTGTATCAGTGTATTTAATACACTAAGTGTACTCATGTTTTATCTCCATAATTCCCTTAAGAAATGATGGAAATGTTCTTGAGTCAGAGCTAACCACCCAGAGATTATAACTGGGACCCAGACATTAGAAGGCTAAACAAGTGAGTTTGAGATGATGAAGCTCTCCATGTTAATTAAGCTGCCTTGAAAAAATCTTGCTATTTTTAAAGGTTATGTGAATAATATCAGTGCTTGATATATCAACCTGGAATAATATCAGTGCTATATAGAAAGAAAGTTAGATAGTTGATAGATTAGATAGATGATAGATAGCTAGATGATAGATAGACAGGGCAGTGGGAAGCCAGTAGAAAACAAATGTGAATGTTAGACTAGACATTGTGTATTACGTTAAGCTTGTTCAAGTTACAAGTTACATAGACTCACTTAGTTTGCCTCTGGTGATGGAGGTTTGTTGGGAGAATTAACAAGGAAGTGAGGAAGCACTGGAAAGCCCAGCAAACAGGCTTCATGGTGGCCTCTGTTCAAGACTCATGCCTCTCTGGGTCCCAGTGGCCACCCAAGTAGTCTGCCATTCCTGTTCTTGACTTCCCCATTTCTCTGTGCTTCCTGATCCTCATGTGAATTTTCTACTTCTCCAAGGGCTCTTCTGTTGTACACTAAGATATGGCACTTGCCTACTTATGGCTTCTGTTGCTTCATAGTTTCTGTTTATATTTTTTAATGCCTTCTCTTTATATTTCTTTTGGCTCCAGGGTCACCATACCATCTGAACTACTTTTTCTGTGTTTTCTAACAGATGATTGAATGGATGGCTTTTACTCGTTCCTTTAGATTAGGATGTGAGGGATACATGATGCAAAGCACAGTTTTCCTGTGTATGGAACAGTGTGGACTGATCTTTCCTTAGGAAGCTGTGGACATGGCATTGTTTGCATAGACATGTATTTCTGCCATTGTTATGGTTCTTTTCTTCCTTTACCACTGAGGAACGAAATTAGCAATGGAATCAGCTAGGCTGTCACTATTCCTAATCAGTCAGTGAAAGGCTTGTCCTTGGGTATACACTTAAAACTGACTTTGGTGGGGTGACCTTGATGATATTTTCTAAGCAGCCAATACAAAATTGAGGCTAGAATCTACAACTTTGATGACAATATCAAGATGAACAACATTTGAGATCTTAAGTATTACTTCTGTACATGCTCGAGTCTGTCCAAAGAAGTGGATCTTGCAGAGAGTGGCAAAACTCAAGATATGCTCTGATTGGCTCTGATTGAAATTTTTTCAAATCAATTCCAATGTCAAACCCTTTTTATCAGACTTTCCTTACCTCTTTATTAATGTAGTCATTTTGCTAGGATAAATCCCATTGTAGATTTTTATTTTTACGACTGTCTCTTCCACCACCTCACTCTCAAACGACACACTTGATAACAGCTTTCCTAGATTTCCTTCTAGGGTTTTTATCGTGCCAGGTCTTATGTTTAAGTCTTTAATCCATCTGGAGTTAATTTTAGTGTAAGGTGTCAGGAAGGGGTCCAGTTTCTGCTTTCTGCACATGGCTAGCCAGTTTCCCCAACACCATTTGTTAAACATGGAATCCTTTCCCCATTGCTTGTTTTTGTCGGGTTTATCAAAGATTGTATAGTTGTATGTATGTTGTGTTGCCTCCGGTGCCTCTGTTTTGTTCCATTGGTCTATATCTCTGTTTTGGTACCAGTACCATGCTGTTTTGATTACTGTAGCCTTGTAGTATAGTTTGAAATCCGGTAGTGTGATGCCCCCCGCTGTGTTCTTTTTGCTTAGAATTGACTTGGCTATGCGGGCTCTCTTTTGGTTCCATATGAAGTTCATGGTGGTTTTTTCCAGTTCTGTGAAGAAAGTCAATGGTAGCTTGATGGGGATAGCGTTGATTCTGTAAATTACATTGGGCAGTATAGCCATTTTCATGATATTAATTCTTCCTAACCATGAACATGGAATGTTTCTCCATCTGTTTGTGTCCTCTCTGATTTCGTTGAGCAGTGGTTTGTAGTTCTCCTTGCAGAGGTCCCTTACATTCCTTGTGAGTTGTATTCCAAGGTATTTTATTCTTTTTGTAGCAATTGCGAATGGCAGTTCGTTCTTGATTCGGCTTTCTTTAAGTCTGTTATTGGTGTAGACGAATGCTTGTGATTTTTGCACATTGATTTTATATCCTGAGACTTTGCTGAAGTTGCTTATCAGTTTCAGGAGTTTTTGGGCTGAGGCAATGGGGTCTTCTAGGTATACTATCATGTCGTCTGCAAATAGAGACAATTTGGCTTCCACCTTTCCTATTTGAATACCCTTTATTTCTTTTTCTTGCCTGATTGCTCTGGCTAGAACTTCCAGTACTATATTGAATAGGAGTGGTGAAAGAGGGCATCCTTGTCTAGTGCCAGATTTCAAAGGGAATGCTTCCAGTTTTTGCCCATTCAGTATGATATTGGCTGTTGGTTTGTCCTAAATAGCTTTTATTACTTTGAGATACGTTCCATCGATACCGAGTTTATTGAGGGTTTTTAGCATAGGAGTAGGCAAGGACTTCATGAACAAAACACCAAAAGCATTGGCAACAAAAGCCAAAATAGACAAATGGGACCTAATCAAACTCCACAGCTTCTGCACGGCAAAAGAAACAGTCACTAGAGTGGATCGGCAACCAACAGAATGGGAAAAAATTTTCGCAATCTACCCATCTGACAAAGGGCTGATATCCAGAATTTACAAAGAACTCAAACAGATTTACAGGAAAAAAACAAACAAGCCCATTCAAAAGTGGGAAAAGGATATGAACAGATACTTTACGAAAGAAGACATATATGAGGCCAACAATCATATGAAAAAATGCTCATCGTCACTGGTCATCAGAGAGATGCAAATTAAAACCACATTGAGATACCATCTCACACCAGTTAGAATGGCGATCATTAAAAAATCTGGAGACAACAGATGCTGGAGAGGATGTGGAGAAAAAGGAACACTTTTACACTGTTGGTGGGAGTGTAAATTAGTTCAACCATTGCGGAAGACAGTGTGGCGATTCCTCAAGGCCTTAGAAATAGAAATTCCATTTGACCCAGCAATCCCATTACTGGGTATATATCCAAAAGACTATAAATCGTTCTACTATAAGGACACATGTACACGAATGTTCATTGCAGCACTGTTTACAATAGCAAAGACCTGGAATCAACCCAAATGCCCATTGATAATAGACTGGATTGGAAAAATGTGGCACATATACACCATGGAATATTACGCAGCAATCAGAAATGGTGAGTTTGTGTCGTTTGCAGGGACATGGATGAATCTGGAGAACGTCATCCTCAGCAAACTGACACAAGAACAGAAAATGAAACACCGCATATTCTCACTCATAGGCGTGTGATGACAAATGAGAACACATGGACACAGAAAGGGGAGTACTAAACACAGGGGTCTATTGGGGGGAAAAGGGGAGGGCCAGTGGGAGGGGGAGGTGGGGAGGGATAGCCTGGGGAGAAATGCCAAATGTGGGTGAAGGGGAGAAGAAAAGCAAAGCACACTGCCATGTGTGTACCTACGCAACTGTCTTGCATGCTCTGCTCATGTACCCCAAAACCTAAAATCCAAGAAAAAATTAAAAAAAAAAAAAAACAGCTTTCCTAGTGTTAAAATGTGAGCTCTGCTCACTGGATGTGACAGTGTTCTGCTGTGTTTTGAGTTGCAAATCCTCGTATTCTCTAGGACATCCCTGGAGCAGTATTATCCACTAGATAACACCCTGTTCTCATGGGAAGTTTGATATGGGCCACATCCATACATTTAACCAAAGCTGTGTCTTCAAGAGGCTTCTCAGAGAGTTTTCACATGGCAGTGGCAGCACATACCAGGGTCAGCAGGACTCTGCCTCATTCAGGAAATGACTTGACAGCAGAGGTTGATTTCTATTTGCACAAACATACAACTGTTAATATGAGTAAAGTGGGATTCATTTATAGGATTTGTAAGTACTTCGAAGTTGTTTACTTACCTATCTGACTTCAGACCACTGCCATCACTCACTGAGATAATACCTCTAATTTTCCGGCTAGTCATTGCACACTCCACCCCTGGAGCCTTGCTGAGATCGAATTCTTTATCAAAGTTGTAGCCAGAATGTTCTTTCTAGAATAAGAATCATATCATGTCACTTCCTTGCTTAAAGAGCTTAAATGGCCCCCTGTTGCCATCAAAATGAAGGACAATCTCCTTCCCATGTGCCTAAGGCCTTTGGAATCCAGAGCTCCCTGGCTCTGCAATCTGGCTTCTCAGCCCTTTGCTCACAGCATTCTGCACTCTGCCCATTCTAAACTTTTCCCCCTTCCCCAAGATTGTATATTCTCTCTTACTTTCTTGATTTTGCACATTTTCTTCCTGCAGCTTTCTCATGTCATTTGTATGACTGTGTGGGGAACTTCCTTCCATGTGCTTTCCCTGTGCCTGTTGCTCACCCTGATTGTAGGACTTACCACTGTGGAAATGCCCTTTCTCACACTGATCTGCAAACTCCTTGAAAGTAGGGTGTTCAGAATTGCGTTCCCAGTGCCTGAATAGCCCTTACTACATAGGAGGCATTCACAAATATTTGTTGGATAAATGTGAGACTTAGGCTAACTTGTTGGCTTAAAAAGTTTTATTTTTGTTCCTTTTTAACCATGCACTGAAATATCTGCTTTTCAAATATAAGTACGACCCTGAATCACACCTGCACTTGTTGTCAAGACAGTGTAGACTAAGTTACCTTCACCAAAAGGCAGCCCAAAGCAATGTTGATTATGAACCCTACTTTGCTAACTGTACCTTTCAAAACACTCCAACAGCCTGATAGAGTGAAAAACACTTTTCTTCCATCAAAGCCCAGACAGACCCTCTTGTTGCAGGCAGCCTGGCTTAGAAAGGAAGACATGTCACCCCCTTTCACAAGTGTGATGATTTGTGGCTGAGGAGGGAGAGGCTGCTCTCTGAACCACATGCTCCCTGGTGCAGGCAGGCTAAGGAAAGATGAATGGCATTATAAGACAGACATCTGAATGTTTCGTATTAAATTAGTCCCACAGAGCACCCAGAATTCTCATTCCATAAATCACGAAGTAAAGTAAACTCACTCCCAGTTTAGATTGCTGTGACTTTGGCCTGTGGTGTCATAGATAATCTGAGAACAGTTAAACATTTGTCTGAAATAGTAATAATTTTGAGCATATTTACTCAGTGGCATAGAGGTGACCCAGACTGATCTCTGCTGCCAGAAACAGCATGTAAATGGGAATCAGCCAATTTAGAAGATTTCCAAACAAGAGTCACTGCTTCTTATGTCCTCTCTCCACTCTAAAATGACCATGAGCTCTTTCAGGAGCTCCTGGGTGCTGCAGGCGCAGATGAGCAAACTTCACCCTTTCTAAAGAGCAGGTATGATCCTGGCCGAGTGGCTCACACCTGTAATCCTAGCACTTTGGGAAGCTGAGGCAGGCAGATCATCTGAGGTGAGGAGTTGGAGACCAGCCAGGGCAACATGGTGAAAGCCCATCTCTACTAAAAAATACAAAGATCAGCCAGATATAATGGCATATGCCCATAATCCCGGCTACCTGGGAGGCTGAGGCAGGAGAATTGCTGGAACTTGGGAGGTGGAGGCTGCCAAGTGAGCTGAGATCGTGCCACTGCACCTCAGCCTGGGTGATAGAGCAAGATTTCCTCTAAAAAAAAAAAAGAGCAGATATGAAAGAGCACTGATGCACCCCTCCCACTCTACTAAATTGCAGTGATAGCACCATTTTGAAACCTTCACTTTGTCTTGGTCTAACAATCAGTTAGGAAGCATCTTGATTCTACTAAAGCCACGTTTCTCTTCAATGACAAAGACTTATTCTGAGACTATTTTACATATCCTTGGATCTCTTCTGGTTCTTCCATTCTTGAGCTAACATTGTGGGTATTTAGAACACTAATTAGAATGGAAAGAACATTGGACTGGGATTCATGAGATCATCCAACTTGATGCTAACTGGCTGAGGTACTGTATAACCTGCCACATCCTCTTCTAGAAAATGAAAAGAGCAGATTTTTTATCTTTAAAGTTGCATCCAACTTTAAAAGTCTGATTCTAATTCAGTAATAAGATACGATTAGGCAGATATGACTTTTTCTTCCCCTCTCTTTCTCTTCCAGCTGATTCCTAGAATTTCATCGTCTGCCTAGTAGGGACTTTCTACAGGTGCTCACCAGGATCTGCATAAAGGGCCACTTCACCTTCATAAGCCCAATTTAAATCTCACTAGAGCAACAGAGGGCAGTCATAGCATGACTTTGTGGTAGCCAAGGTGTGGAGGTGGCTCCTTCCAGGGAAAGATTCCTGGGCTTGGAGGCATAGGCCTGGCTTGAATCTTGCCTTCCTGCACTCTTGGGAAAGTTGCTTGGTATAAGACTCAAATAAGATCATTAACATGGAAGGAGAAAGGCACCACCATTTTTAGAGTGTCTGTCTGTACCAGGCTCCATATTGAACTTTTACATAGATGTTGTCTCTCTGAATCAGTGTTCACAACCACCCTATGAAGTAGATATTTCTTTTACTACTTTTACATTTTACAGATGGGAAAGCTGGGCTTTTACGAAGTGAAATACCTTTGCCAAAGGTGCCAGCTAATAAGTGGCAGAGCTGGGATCTGTACCCAAATCTGCCTACCCTCAAAACCTGCTGTTTCCATTTAGGTACCCTAGAAACCCCTTGTAAGTTTTCAGTGCAATAGAAATGTTAGATATGGTCTTGGCAGTTCTGAAAATGAGCTCCCTAGATACCCTGAAGTGATCATTTTATGGTTGAGTTGCTGCTTATTTGAATTATTTTCCTGATGACAATTGAGTTAGGCAAGGTAAGTTATGTTTGTATGCCCAACCCAAGGTGGGAGAATAGCAATCTATTTCTCACAGTTCTGGAGGCTGGGAAGTCCAAGATCACAATCAAGGCACTGGTGTTAGGTGAGCGTCTTCTTACTGCTTCCCCACAGGGCAGAAGGTGGAAGGGAAGAGAAAGCAAATCCACTCCCACGTGCCCTTTTCATAGCAGCATTAATCCATTTGTGAGAGTATATCCCTCATGACCCAAATACCTCTCAAAATGCCCCACGTCCCAACACTGCTGCATTAGGGATTCAGCTTACAGAACATGAATTTTGGAAGACGTATTCAGACCACAGTAGAGGCCATAGTGAAGTACCACAAGATGGGTATCTTAAACAACAGAAGCATATCGTCTCACAGTTCTGGAGACCAGAAGTCCAAAATCAAGGTGTAAGCAGTACTGATTCCTTCTGAGGGCTATGAGGAAGAATCTGTGCAATCCCTCTCCTTAGCTTCTGGTGGTTTGCTGGTGCTATGGACTGAATGTTTGTGTCCCTCTGAAATTCATATGTTGAAACCCAATCCCCAATGTGATAGTAGTAAGTGCTGAGACCTTTAGGGGCTAATTAGGTCACGAGGGCAGTAGCCTCATGAATGGAATTAGTGCCCTTACAAAATAAGCCCATGAGAGCTGCCATGCGCCTTCCACTATGTGAGGACACAGCAAGAAGGCACCACTGGCAGCAGGCAATATATGAACCAGGAAGCAAGCCCTCAGTAGACACCAAATCTGCTGACACCTCAATCATGGACTTCCCAGGCTCCAGAATTGTGAGAAATAAATTTTTATTGTCCCTACGCTACCCAGTCTAAGTTATTTCATGATAGAAACCCGAACAGACTAAGAAAAGCTGTCACTCTTTTGGCATTTCTTGGGTTGTAGAAGCATCATTTTGATCCCTGCCTTCATATTTATGTGACATTCTTCCTGTGTCCTTGAGTCCAAATTTTCCTATTGCTATAAGGACATCAGTGATGTTGTATTAGGGCCTACCCTACTCTAGTGTGACTTCATCTTACCTAATGACATCTGCAGTGATCTTATTTCCAAATAAGATCACATCCTGAGGTGCTGGGGTTAGGATTTTGACATGTGCATTTTGGAGGAATGCAATTCAACCCGTAATAATCAGTAACAAAAATCCCCAGACCTCACCCACACAAGCCTTTGTCATAGCACAAGTGCCCTACCATTAAAGACTGCAACATTCTTTCTTGATGGCCTCTCTCTCTCTTTTATGTCTTTCTTGTTCCTTACTAACACTGATGTCTGATATTAATGGAAAAACCATTAAAAAAACTATTATCCTATGAGGTAAAGTGAATGCACTCAACTGTAAAAGGAAGACTTATCGATCAATTTTAGTTAAACCTTGCTTGTCTGACACTTTGCAGCTAAGGAATGTGTTTTTATTGCCTGGCCAGATAGTTCAGATTTCCGGTCAGTCATAGTAAAGACCCCTTTTATAACATTGATAAAATTTTATCACAGAGCTATGAAAACAAAATTAGATTTCATAACTCACATCAGGCCTTGAAGGGGATGCCTCTATAAATTTTACAAACCCTATCAAGCTTTAATGCACCTATTCTAATAATTTTTTAAAATAGCAAATTGTACTGAACTTCCTACTACGTGTGTATATAAATGCATGTACATATATATATATATACATACATATATATACGTATATATATATACATATATATATATAGTTTTTTTTCTCTGTCTACCTTACAGAAAAAAAAACTTTCTTCACCTACTTGTAAATGGAAGACTGTGACAGGAAGGTCAATTATTTAGATCACTGAAGACTCTAAATTTGGCAAATCTTCTAAATAAGAATCCTGCGTGGTATATTAAAAAATTTAGTCATAAAATTTATCCTCCAAAAAAACTCATTTTTTTTCAATGGGCATATTTTGAAGAATGAACATTGACAAATCAGACAATATATCCATAAATTCATAGTAAGACATACCATAATCCAGAACATCGTTAGCCATGGACATTTTGAATGCTAGTGAAATCTGTATACATTCTCAAGATTTTCTAGTTTATAGTATGGCCTCTTGGAAAAAAATGCACATGCATTGAATGCATGTTTTGTCTCCCCAACAGGATGAAAAGTGCCGAGGAGGCAGGGAGACTCTTAGTTTTATTTAGTTGGATGAAGCTCTACCCACAAAGGCTCACTGATAAAACTCATCAGTCCTACCCCACAGCA